GTGGTCTGGTATTCCCATCTCTTGAAGAAATTTCCACAGTTTATTGTGATCCACACAATCAAAGGCTTTGGCATGGTCAATAAAGCAGAAGTAGATATTTTTCTGGAACTCTCTTGCTTTTTCAATGATCTAATGGATGTTGGCAATTTGATCTCTGCTTCCTCTGCCTTTTCTAAAACGAGCTTGAACATCTGGAAGTTCACAGTTCATGTACTGTTGAACCTGTTCTTGTTCTTGCCTGGCAACAATTACCTGAAGCTCAAGGAGAGCTTTCCCCGCTTGGTGGGGCTTCAGTTCTTTGGTTTACCCTAGTCCTCACCACTCCCTATTGTTTTTCGCTATTATTTTTTTTTTTGGCTGTGCCACGCAGCATGTGGAATCTTAGCTCCCTGACTAGGAAGTACACCTGTGTCCCCCCAAACTGCAAGTGCAGAGTCTTAACCACTGCACCGCCAGGGAAGTCCCTCTCTATTGTTTTGAACCCAGACTTTTTGCATTCATTTGTTGCATGCTTGGTCCTGGCTAGCATTTGGGTTTGAGACCTTTAGCTTAAAGAAACAGATTGGTTATCTGGAATGGAAGGAGACTTAGATGCTTCTCAAGACTATTCCTCAAGCTCCCCAGGGTGGTAACAGGAGGGGGAATATGGGTCTCCATTTCCTTTGAAGGTAGGTTAAAGTAGAAGAGATTTGGACTGGACAGTGAAGATGAAGGAACCTGGGAGGTCTTCTTCTCAGAGGAGGACGCTGTGAAGGGTAGATTCTGTCTCCGGTGAAGATGGACATCCATTTGTCCACAGTCAGTTACCCAAGAGCTGGGAGGAGACCTGCCTGCTCTTTTCTGAGTGGGTCCCCCTACTTCAGCTTCTGGACTCTCCGTGGGCACCTCACCTTTCCAGGGACAGAATCCCTTGGAGTGAGGCCAGCATGGGGACCCTCTGCCAGGTGACCACAAAGGCAGCTGCTGCACTCAGCAGACAGGGAACTCCTGTTGTCCTTGGCCATGTGGAGTTTTTAGCTCCGCAATACTGTAGTCACCTTGTAGGGAATGCAATCTTTGCAAACTCTACCTTCTTAAAAAAAAGTTTACTACTTTTTTTCTTAGTATAAATAAGTAAATCATATATCCTGACGGGGGTAGAGGTTATAAAAATCATGAATATATTAAAATTCATAGACCCTTACATGCATCCCTGAAAAGTCACTTTTACTATGTGAGAATTTAAAATATTAAAAATTTTAAAGGAATACAAATTCATTAACAGCAACTAAAGAGAATGTATCCCTATAGCTGATTCATGTTGAGGTTTGACAGAAAACAACAAAATTCTGTAAAGCAATTATCCTTCAGTTAAAAAATAAATAAATTTTAAAAATTAATTAATTAAAAAAAGAGAATTGAAAGAAGGAAAAAGCATAAATATCTCTGAATAATGCTAATATTTTGCTTTATTTCCTTCTATACTTTCTTGATACATAAAATGTATTTGAATGTGTATCTATACTTATGATGATATTATATATATATATGTATAAAATTTGGTTCTATTTTTCACTTAAAACCCATTGTTTCATTTTTGCGTATTCCCCAAAAACCTCCTTTCCATGTTGATGTGCTCTTCACCGAATGGAATAAAAATAAGTTCCTACTAGCCAGGGCTTGGAGCAGGGCTTGGCGTAAGAAAAACTCTCCAACATGGGGACTATTATTACCATTAGTATTGTTGTGGTAAGTTATTTAATCATTTCCTCCTTGTTAGAAATGCAGGCTGTTTCCAATTTGTACTTTAAATACATCTGGAAGGAACATTTTTGCATATTATGTGTTTCCTGAATTTCAGAGCATTTCCTTAGGAGGCTATCCAAATAAATAACACACGTGTTCTATAATCAAGGCTGGGTTACTAAATGCTGACAGGGCTTGGGGACACTGAAGGGTGACTGAGGAGACTTCTCCGGGGACTGAGACTCTTTGGGGGTCTCTCTCTGCAGTGGTGGTGGGGTGGCGCAGGCTCTCCCAACAAACAGCCTCTCCCTCACGCATCCTTGATTTCTCTTGCTTTCCTGGCTCTTTCCTTGAGCCTCATCCCCTCTTGTCTAATGAGAAGGTGGTTTCCATCCTGACTACCTCTCACTCCACTGTTCTCTCCTTTCCCCTTCACCACCGCACTTCTCATAAGAATACTGTCTCTCTCTGGAAACTCTACCTCTGGAGCTTCTGGGCAAACTCCTACAGACCCTGCTCCAACGACCCATCCTCTGGGGTGCTCACCCGACTCCCTGAGCTGTCGCCATTCTAGTGCCCACAAGTGGAGATTCTTTGCTGCCCAGGAGCAGTCTGTTTATTTCCTGTCTGCAGGCTCTAGCACTGGGAGTGGAACATGGCTGGTGCCATGTGAATGCCACCGAGGGACTTGATCAGTGGAGCGAACTTCACAACAACGATCCTGAAGTGCTCAGGAAATGTTGTTTCCTGCCCTCTTCCTGTGCCAGGCAGTTGTGAATTTCATTCTGGAGCATGGCAATGCTGTGCCCAACTGGAGGCTGTGGTGTGATGAGGTCCCTGTCACAATCCCCATGACACAAGCCGCAGAGCAGTCACAACCTACCTCCATTCCTGGGTCACCCTTCTCCCCTGGTTCTCCTTTCTCTCCCTGTGGACACAAAACAACACGGCGTGGATGCCAGCACTCCGGGGAGTCTGGGATAGACACCCTCAAATCTGTGACAAACCAGACCAGGACTAGGCTATGTCTAGGTGTCTGCAAGGATCACCTGGGAAGCTACGGGGGGTAACTGACCTGAAGATGAAGACCAGGGCAGGGAGCCTGTGATCACTGGCTTCCTGAGTCTGAGGTTCTATTAACAGCACATGGGAGGAGAGACTGATATTCTGCATGGATCCTGTAGGGTAGAGACCCTAGCATAGACCTGGGACTTGTTTCTAACAGAATATGGCCTGTGGCAAAGGTGATGGTCTGTCTCTCTTGTGGTTATGTTATAAGCTTAGGTACAAATTATACAGATGTTATACAACTGATAGGTTAAGACTGTGTTACAAGTATGTCTCACACACACACACATGCACACACACCTCTGTCTTGCTTGTGAGCACTGAGACGCTCCTCCTGGCCTTGGCCTTGAAGAAGCAAGCTACTGTAATGTGCTCTGCCTGCTATGAGAAAGGCTGTGTGGTTGGGAACTGTAGGTGGCCTATAGGAACTGAGGGACTCAGTCCTACTATAGAAAGGACTGAATTATGCCAACAGCAGCAAGCGTGGAAGAGGACCCCAGCGCTAAATGGGAATGCAGCCGATGGCAACCTGACTGCAGCTCTGAGAGGCGCTGGGCGGAGGCCCCATGCCGGGACTCCTGACCCATGGAACTGCCATAACACATGTGTGTTGTTTTAAGCCACTGAATTTGTGGTGACTTGCTATGCAGCTACTGAAAGCAAATATGGCTCCAGAAGCAGAGCCAGGCCCACAGGGTGTTGATGGAGGACCCTCACACCACATAGGGAGCACTTCCTCCAGTTTGGAGGGGACACGGCAGGAGGCCACCAGCTGCCTGCCTGTCCCAGCTGAGTGGGCATTCAGTGGCCTCCGAGGGCCCCTGCACTGGGTCAGAGGTAGGACTAGTTGACCTCTGAGCTTCTTTCTACTTCTAAGAGGAGAATTCCTCCAAGTCCAAGGTTCTGGCACCTTTGAACTCTGTTTGTCCCTGGAAAGGGAGGCCACCATTTTGTGAGCAGAGGGAGCTGGAGCCCCTGTTGACACCCAGAATCTGCCCCTCAGGGAGCAGCTGCTCATCCAGAGTACCCTCCCACCCCCAGGCTGGGATGGCAGATGAGGTCAGGGCTGCCTCATCACACCAGGAGCCTGCTAGGCAGGTGACCGCAGTCAGGGCACCCGACTTGCTTGCCCTCATCAGCAGAGGCCTGCTGACCACCGTGATGCTTGTCCTCTCGCCTTACTATAAATCCTGGGAGCCCGATTGGGCCAGGAAGTCCAGTCGCGCCGGGTCTCCCTGGGTCACCTGGTTCTCCTTTCTCCCCAGTTGGGCCGTCTAGACCCTACGGATTGACAAAGATCTCTGTTAACCAAGGGCTAGGTCATCACACTGAGGTCTGAGGACCAGCTGCGGCCTGCACGTGGGACCCCCTTCCCCTGAGAGCAGATGTCTAGGGTGCTGTCCATTTCTCAGATGGAAGGTGTGAGGCCCAAAGAAGGTTCCTAGGTCAAACCCAGCTGGCCTGGGCAAGGTCCCTTGTTAGTAACTCTCCTGGGTCTAGGGTTTCTGTGTGCTGTCCCAAGAGACAGTTTTACACCCACAACTTTATCTTCCCAACAACCCAGTGAGGTATACAGGGATGGCATTATCATCCCCATTTTACAGACGAGGAAACTGAGGCTCTGCCAGGCTCAGGGACTTTCCTGCGAATGGGAGATGACAGAGCAAGACCCAGGTCTCTTGAGGCAGGAAACTACTTTCATAAAGTAAGGCTGGAGGAGAAAGCAGGCAAGCCCCTGTCCCCGGCTCCCGACCCTGGTTTCCAGCTGCACCGGGCACAGCACACAGCTGTATCATGCTAGGTGGGCCTGGCACTCACCGGTGGTCCTGGCTGCCCCGTCTCCCCTTTCTCCCCCTTCTCTCCTGGGCTCCCCGGGAGGCCGTCTTCTCCCTTCATTCCTGCATGCCCAGGCTTTCCTGGGGGGCCTTGGGGACCAGGAGGGCCCACATCTCCTGGTTTGCCTCGAGGTCCCTTGAGAAAAGATCAGCAACACGTATTAGATACACCCATGGAGGATCGAGGGGAAGAACATGAAAGAATGGGGTGCAGGGGGCCCAAAGGACTTGGCTCTTTGGTGCTTTATTGGACTAGGCAGAGAGCCTATGCAGCGTGGGTCTGCCTGGCTCCTCCGGGGGCCAGCAGTGGGGCTTGGGAGGCTTCTGCAGGTGGGTCCTCCCTCCCCTGTTCTCCCTTCCCCACAAGGTGTGCACCCGGGCTCCCTCCAGAGCCTTCTGCACCCTCACCCCCAGGGCAAAGACTATCTTTAGAGGTTTGTCTGGGCGTGTCCTTACCTTTTCCCCGTCGAGTCCGGGAGGGCCTGGCAGTCCAATCTCCCCCTGCAGCCAGAACAAGCCAAGGTCACTCTCGGACCAGAGGAGAACGGTAACCATTGTTTATATATCACTTGGTGTGGCAGGTATCCTCAGCACTCATGCAGAAGGTATGTACTTTCACTGACTCTGTTTTAGAGGTGAGGACCCCAGTGCAGAGTCGTGAGCCCAAGGCCTGTGGTTAATGAACAGTGGATCCCGGTTTGATTCCTAGGTAGGGAAGATCCCCTGGAGAAGGGAGAGGCTACCCACTCCAGTATTCTTAGGCTTCCCTTGTGGCTCAGATGGTAAAGAATCCGCCTGCTATGTGGGAGACCGGGGTTCAGTCCTTGGGTTGGGAAGATGCCCTGGAGGAGGGCATGGCAACCCACTCCAGGATTCTTGCCTGGAGAATTTCCATGGACAGAGGAGCCTGGCAGGCTATAGTCCGTGGGGTCACAAAGAGTCAGATATGACTGAGTGACTAAACACAGCACAGCAAATAACCAGCTGTACCACCAAAGCAAGCTGAGAGGAAAGAGCAGAGAATTCCTGCTGGTAGATCAGGTAAGGCTTCAGGGAGGAGGTGGCAGCCTTCAAGGTGGGATTGAAATATGAGGACTTTGAAATGTAGGGGAGACAAGAAGGGACTTTAGGGCAGAAGGCCTCATGAGTAGAGGACAGAAGGACAAATGAGCGTGGCTTTCTGAGAAAATCCACAGGGATGAGGGCAGAGGATAAAAGGAAGCAGGAATGGAGGGAGGGGTGAGACTGGGGAGGGGCTTAAGTGCTGTGATGGCGGGTTGAGTCCCTGCTGTGGGTCCAGCTAGGGTGGGAGCTCATCTAGACCTGGCCTCACTGTAACAGAGGGGCCTGTGAGTTACAGGAGCCTGAGACCAGACAGTGAGGGAAGAATGGCAGAGTTGAGGGTGTGGGAGGGTCGGTGGGCAGGTGGTGACTTGGAGCTTGGGGAGAATTACAGGTTGGAGTGGGGTGGTGGCCCTGAGAACATGAGGATACAGGTGGGGGCAGCCATAGGGTCCCGTGCTCAGAGACACATGCAGGGCTTCTGCAGGGTCTGAATCTGCCTTGTCAAGACAGTGTTACCTTCTCGCCTGGGATCCCTGGAGCTCCGGGTGGGCCGATCTGCCCAGGAAGACCAGGGGGGCCCTAGGAAAGGAAAGAGAGACCTGTGGGAGAACTTTATGACTGAGGACGGATGGCCTGTCTCCAGGGAGGTGTATGTGGAGGCTGATTATTTCCAAACATTTCATCAGCGGTAGGAACACTTTTTTTTTTTTTTCAAAGAAAATAAAAAGGAGACTCCACAGTGTAAGGCAGGTAAGCTCTGGGTGTGTTTAGGCTAAAGACAGGGTTGGGGATCCTAGAGTCATGCCTATCAGCCTTTTCCTCCCCTTCCCTCTACACCCTGGGGGCTCCTTGGGTTCCTAGAAGATAAATCTGACCTTTCCTGACAGTGATTTAGAAATGTCTCTGGGAAACAACCCAAATGTCCATCAACAGGTGAATGTCTGGTACATTCACACAGTGGAATACTATACAGCAGTGAAAAAGAGCCAAGCACTGCACATTCCGTGCCATAAAAGAAAGAGACTCTGACACGTGATGCAGAGCAAAAAAAGCCAGATGCAGATGCTGACATACTAACTGATTCCATTCTTAAGAAACTCCAGAACTGAAGACAGACCTAAGCTAGGGTGATAGAAAGCAGATCAGTGGGGTGAGTGTGGGATTGACTCTTGAGTCTCAGGAAGGAATTTTCTGGAGTGATTGAGGTGGTGGATACAAGACTATATACATTTGTCAAAACTCAACAAATTCTACACCTAAAGTGGGTACATTTTATTGTATGTACAGTTAATTCGAGGTTGATTTTAAAAATTAAAAAATTTTTCCGTGAAAGTTTTGTTTCAAATAGGTATTTCAAATAATATATTTTAATGTTTCCAAATGAAGCCCACTGACTTCAGAACCATTTGGTTAATACCAATCTCTGAGATTGAGGCATCATGACTGGTGCTTAATTCTGGATTTGCATCATCTCTAAGTGTGTTCTCTAGCATATGGCCATTAAAAAACATTGAATGACATAAAATGTGAGTAGTTTGAGAACTTCTTGATCTCTCCTCTTTTCTCTGACTTGGAAGTTAAAGTAGGTGGTGATCATTTTAACTGCAGATATTTACTGAGGGCCTATCACTGGTGGGCACCCATGCAGGATCCAGGCTTAGAATACACTGGTTTTCCAGATGCAAACAATGAAGTTGATTTCCAGGAAAAGTGTATGATCACTACTGATTTCTTAGGATTACACTTTATTAGTGAAAGTTTGGGTAAAAGGAGAAACATAGAAATATCTTCCTCCATACCACTACTTTCTCGACGCCATTGCAGAGAGAACCCAGCATTTATTCTTTGACAGGAGCGCCCTGCTGAGTTGGTGAGGAACCACTCCAGATGACAGCTGTGATCCTGCTCAGGCTCAGGCCAGTCCCTGCCCCAGCACAGCAGGATCTACCCTAACCTTCTGGAGGGGAGACCTCCAGGCTTGGCTTTCAGGTTGCCCACCCCCAGCCCTCAGTCCAGCACCTGGGGCGGGCTGGGGAGGGAATCAAGGGACGAGGACTCACCATCAAGGCCAGTGTCCGGATCTCCTAAAAATCAACACCATGTGATCAGTTGAAGAGCAAATCAAGAGCCACCTGGAGGGTCCCTCCAAAGAGTCCTGGAAGGGTGGGCGCTGAGCCCCTTGAAGGAGCATCACAGAGGTAGACCCTCTTGGGGACTCTGTGCCTCCCAGACTCACCCCACCCTCACCTCTCCCAGAGGTTCGTAATCACTGGACAGAGAACACCCCACGAGCACCAAATGCTGTCTACAACAGACTTAGACATGCTTAAAGGGACTGCAAACTGTCCCTTTACCAGAGAGGGAAGAAAGAAGCATGTCTTCCTTCTAATCACTGACTGGGACCCTCCCTTCATCTTCCCCCTTCTTCTAAGACCCAGATTTAAGGCTCTGATGTACCTCCCTTTAAACACAGCAGAACAAAACACGGAGCTACTTGAAAATAAATTAGAGGGACAATTGTTGGCATTAAAAAAAAAATGTACACCTTGAACATGGATTCACACAGGTACAAGGATTTCTTTAAAGGAGCAGTTCTCAATCTGGGGTGATTTTGTCCCCCTGGGGACATTCAGCAGTGTACAGAGACATACTTTGTTTTTTATAGCTGGGAGGCAATGACATAGGTGCCATCTATTGGAATCTAGTGGGTAGAGACCCAGAATGCTGCTGAACACCCTCCGGCACACGGGTCAGCCTTCTCACAACCAAGATTAACCAGCCCCAGATGTCAGTAACACCCCGCTTTAAAAAAACAATTTTATGGCATGAGGGATCTTAGTTCCCCAACCAAGGATTGAACCCAGGCTCCCTGCAGTAGAAGCATGGAGTCTTAACCACTGGACCAACTGTCTCTGGGCGGTCCTACTCACCTGGAGAGCCTCGTTGATGTTCCCGTTGTAGTCCACCATCTCTCCTTTCCCAGGTTCTCCCTTGGAGCCCTAGGAGACAAACGATACCTGTACCCAGGGCCTGGCTCAGCGGGGACCTCAGGACAGGTACCTCCTGCTCCTACAAATGGGATCAGAGCCGACGCTGTCTCCACAGGTGCATCCAGAGCAGCTGGCGGTGGCTACCAGGGCTCCAGGCATGCTCAGGGGATGCTCAGGGAATCCAGAACCAATGGAGAGCCCTGGACTAGACAGACCTGGGGGATGCTGAGTCTGATTGTGGCTGCAATGTCAGACATCCTAGCCAGACAACCTGTCTGGGGCCAGACTGCTCTTCCTGGAGAGCCCCAGATGAGCCACTTCATGCCGTGACCCCAGGGAGCTGAGATGTGCTGCCCTGATTCTCTGGATGAGAGATGCACATACCTTGGGGCCAGTAGGTCCCTGATCTCCAGGTGCTCCAGGGTCCCCCTGTTGCAGGACAAAATTAGAGTGAAATAGGCATTAAGCAGGTACAGAGAATCTGATGTCCCCAGATGGTCTGTGTGGTGGGGCCCTGGAGGGGCCGGGAGGCTCAGCTCAGGGCAGGCCAGGAGGGCGCAGGGCTCCATCTCATGCAGGATCCACCCCTCAGGAAGTGCCTCCGCCAGCCCGCATGCCCCTCTCCCTCTGAGCTCCCTCCAGCTTCACACTGGAAGGTCTTCTTTCTGTCCCGCGTGAGCTGTTGGTGATTCTATCCTTGTTTGTCTGGCCACCTCTCCTCAGTCCCCTAAGTCAGCCACCTCCTAGGGAGCAGAGATCAGACCCTCTGCCCCTCTGTTTCCACCCTGCTCAAGGAGCAAGGGTTCAGAAACTTTGTGCCAATTGCCTGGGTGGTCACCAATCGCCTTGGAGAGCCCCGGGGGGTTCCTATCTGTCGGTGGAAGACCCAAACTGTGGGAGGAAACAGGGGGGGCCAGGGTGAGGGATTAGAAACACCCTGCCTCCTGGAGCAGGTTGGGTGGGGGAGGATTTGTACTTGTTGGAAACAGGACAGAAATGTGGGGAATAAACGAAAGGTGGTGTAAATTGTGAAAAGCAAAGCAGAGTTCCACACTTGATCTGGGAAAATGTGAACCCTGAACACAGCTTTAAAAATGAAGCCAGAAAGTAAAAATAAAGGGAAAACAAACCCTTTAATATAACTCAACTTCTGCTGACCCTCCAGTGGGTCAGCTCAGGGGGCGTTACCTCCAGGTAGCAGCCAGCCCCTCCCCACACCCACAGGCTTGCAGTGCCCACAGCAGCACCAGGCTAACCTGTCCACAGGAGCCAGAGAGAATGGAGCCCCACCTTTACCAGCGGTTGGAAAATAGTAGATGCAGGGGCTCTGGGGCACTGCATTCCCCAGGCGCAGCATCTCATCCCTGGCCCATGCCTGGCCAGCGTCTCAGAGGAAGTTCCCCAAAGCCCAAGGTGAGAGAGATGGCAGGCAGGAGTCATGAGTCAGCCCTGTGCCTGGGGGCCCAGTGGCAGGGACGGCCAAGACTCTCTCTCCCTCTGAGCTCCCAAGCTGACCCTTATCCTGCAGCTCTTAGATCGGGGCCCTCTGTACCTTGTCTCCTTGCTGTCCTGGGGGGCCTTCTGGGCCATCTGCTCCAGCTTCCCCCTAGGCAAAAGGAGAGAGATGGGATGAGGATACACAGGGGGCAAGAGATGGTCCGGCCATTCATGTTGTAGCAAGTATATCTGGGCTCTATCTCTTGCCTGCTCATATCTACTAACTCCCCCTACTCCACCTGTCTGACTTCCCCACCCTTGGGCCCTGCCCAGGCCCACCTCCTCTAAGCAGCCCTCCCGACCTATTCCTTTCCTCCTCTGACTTCTGTGTTGCCAGGCCCTCCTCGGTTCTTAGTCAACACACACGTGTCCAGCTTGTTGAGGCCCCTAACTATGGACCCTCATCAACTTCTGGCTGTAGGAGGCAGGTCACTTTGGAGCATGGAACACTCACCAGATCCTGCCTGGGAGACAGAGGGGAGTGGGAAGGGCTTAGGCATGTGGGGAGGGGGCCCCAGGAGGCCTAGGACCGGAGGAGCAGGGAGAGGCAGGAAGGAGAGGCAGGAGTCTCTGTGGCTGATTCAGAGTCCAGGCTACGGGCCTTTCTGATTATCCAAAGACCTGGCAGCCACTGGTCCTTGACTCAGTTACATCACAGCCATTTGAGTCAATGGCTCCTACTTCCATCTGCCCCAGAGAGGGCATCTCTTTTGGAGGGTCAAGGTCACTGCTTGGAAGTAGGAGCTCGGTCCCAGGAGCTTGGACCTTTCTAGAATCCACTGGAAAAACCACACACTTAGAGGAGGAGAGAAGGCAAGGTGCCCAGGATATAGAGTCCCTCAAATGGACTAGGGATAAGGGCCACAGGCAAACACTTGGCTTGAGCACCAGTCCAGGGGAAAGACTCACCTTTTGCCCTGGGGGTCCAGGAAGCCCTGGGGGGCCAGGCTCCCCTCTGCCTCCTTCAATGGAGTTGCCAGCATCGCCTTTTTCTCCCTGGGGGTGGAAGGCAGAGTTACCATCACTAACTTTGAGGGAGGTGGTTGGTCTCTGTCTCTTCTCCCCTCATAGTTCAAAGGACTAAAGACAGCAGACTGCCCCTCGGTCTGTGCTGAATGTTGGGGAATGGTGGGCTCCAGCATGGCTGGGGACCAGAGGCTTTCAGAAGCCTGGCCATGGGATTTGAGGAGAGAATGGAACTGGTTACTAAAGCGGAACAGGTGTAAGCTAGAACAAGATCCCCATCAGGACCAGGATCAAGGTTTCTCAAAGTGTGTTTCAGGAAACACTTCTTCAGCAGGTTGGGAATATTCAGAATGTGACAAAAAGGGGCCTGGTGGCCAAACAATGTCGGAAAGGCAAAATGAAATGAAGCTATCCAGGCTCCTTCACCACAGGGTGTCAGGAGCCTCTTGGACAGGCCAAGGTGCTTATGACTCTCTGAGGAGCCTGCTTTATTTATTAAAAAAATTTTTATTGGTGTATGGCTGACTTATGTTAGTTTTAGGTATACAGTAAAGTGAATCAGTTATACATACATATATTTTATATATATATATATACACACACACACACACACATACATATATATATTCAAATTCTTTTTCAGATTCTTTTTCAGATTCTTTTCCCATATAGGCCACTACAGAGTATTGAGTAGAATTCTGAGGGGGCTATTGTATAGAGCCAAACTTATTTGACTTCTTTTTTTTAAATGGAATATCTGTGGCGCTCACGTACTGTAGACTATGCTTTCAGACCAGGTGCAGAGAAATCAGACCAAGTCATAGCTAATAAATTCTTTGACTTTGGGGCTTTTGGGGGACAGTCAGGACCTCCCATGTGGTACCCCATGCTTCAGCCCCCAAAACAGAATCTGGCTGCTTTTCCCCAATCTGGGAGGGACCCCTGTAATGCTGGGGCCTGTGTGAATGTGCAGAGTGGGAAATGCGGGTGGGGATGGATGATGGATTTCTACACAGAGCCCACCACTCAGAGCTGGTTGCTACCCACCTTCTGCCCCAAGAGGCCGAGTGGCCCGGGGGACCCCGCAGCCCCCTTCTCACCCTGTGGAGGGAATGCAGACAGTTTGGGTTAGGAACTGTTTCTCTAGTATGTTGGCGAAGGCACCAGCCCTCCAATGTAGGGTCTTGACTTTCTTCTCTCCTGCCTCCCTGCCCTACCTGGGCTGTTCTCTCAAGGACTCACTTCCTGCTGGACCCTATCAGGGACCTGACTCCTTCCTTGGGACACTTCCCACTGGTATCATTGTCCTCCCAGTCCTGTGCGGGTGGGGCCCTTGGCACTTATGTAGGGAGAGGAGCCAAGAGCATTGAGTCCCTTAGGGGGGTCTCCTAGGGAGACGTGAGCCATTCAGAATGCCAAAATTTGGCACCCTTTTTATTTTATTTTTTCAAGTTTTAGTTTTGATTTTAATTTACCCAAAATCTTTTTTAAAAACTGCTTGCTCTTTTTCACGTTTGTGATGTCTAGCAATTAGATGTTCCTGGTCTTTAGGGAGAGCTTTCTGCCCACCTCCTTCCTGCCTCTAGGGATGACAAAAACCATCATACTAGAACTTTTCCTTCGGAGGAATATTTTGAGAAGTATGCCTCAGGTTGAATTGTGTCCCATGCAAATTCATATGCTGGAGTCCTAACTCCAAATATCTCAGAATGTGACCTTACCTGGCAATTGGACCACTAGAGATATAATTAGCTAAATTATGAGGTCACCCTGGAGTCGGGTGGGCCCCTAATCCAGTATGATCGGTGTCCTTATAAAGAAAAGGGAACTTTGGACATAGACATGCATTTGGGGAGAATACCATGTGAAGACGAAGGCAGAGACTAGGGCAATACTTCAACAAGCCAAGGAAGACCAAGAATGGCAGCAAGCTACCAGGAACCAGGAGAGAGGCATGGGACACCCCGCAGAAGGGTGTCCAACCCTGCTGACACCTGATCTCAGACTTCCGGCCTCAGAATTGTGGGCCAATCAATGTCTGCTGTTGAAGTCACCCAGTCAGTGGTCCTGTGTTACGGCAGCCCTAGTAAACAAGCGAAAGTTGCTCAGTCGTGTCCGACTCTTTGTGACCCTGTGGACTATGTAGTCCACGGAATTCTCCAGGCCAGAACACTGGAGTAGGTAGCCGTTCCCTTCTCTTGGGGATCTTCCCAACCCAGGGATCGAACCCAAGTCTCCCACATTGCAGGTGGATTCTTTACCATCTTTACCATCTGAGCCGCCAGGGAAGACCAAGAATACTGGAGTTGGTAGCCTGTCCCTTCTCCAGTGGATCTTCCCGACCCAGGGATCGAACCCGGGTCTCCTGTATTGCAGGCGGATTCTTTACCAGCTGAGCTACCAGGGAAGCCCAGTAAACAAGTACCCTTTTCTAGTCTACCACCAAAAAACACTTTTTCTCGCTCATGACTTGGGTCCCAGAGCCCCGCTCTCATTGCAGAGATGAAGGGTCTCCGTGACTACGGATGACCACTCAGTGCAGCAGTGGCAGAGCTGGATGCGGCACCCAGCTCTCTTGATGCTTCTCCTTCTGTGTCACAAAGACTTCACTTGGATTCACAGCGTCCTGCATCAGGAGGGCCCCTCGAGAGCGCCCCTTCAGGCCAGCATGAGAAGCTCCACTTGCTATAGTCTGATGGTGGTTCTCATATGTAATAATATACACTGAGGGCCCTGGACTCATAATTCACTCAGGTGTCTCAATGAACTTTTCAGTGGAAGACACAAAGGATGTTGCATCAAGTCTAGCTGTCATCCCCTTGCCACCTGCCCCAGGGTAGAAAATGTGAATGACAAGAGGAGGGCATGGCAACCCACTCCAGTGTTCTTGCCTGGAGAATCCCCATGGACAGAGGAGCCTGGCCAGCTACAATCCATGGGGTTGCAAAGAGCTGGACATGACTGAGCTACTAAGTGCACACACAGGGAAGAGAGGAGGGCCAGGTAAAAGCCGCAGGGGTGAGAGGGACGAGTCCTAAAGCCCCAGCTCGCCTTGCAGGGCCTGCGGCTTTAGCGGGGGCATACCCTGTCTGGGGTGGGGGGTCTAAGGGGAAGGGTGTAGGGCTGCCCTGCTGAGGTCCTGGGGGATGAAGAGGACCTCCCTTCCTTCTGCTGGGCTTTCCTCTTGGGTACTCAATGGCTTTCAGGGAGAAAGGCTGTGCCCTCGCGTGTGAATTTCTGAAGACTTGCAGGCCATCCTGGCCAGCATTCTCTTCCTCCCGGGGACGCATGCACCCACTGCACACTGCAAGCAGCATGGCAGCCGTGGGGGCGGGGGTGGGAATGGGGGGACCAGGAGAGGCCGGGGTGAAGGGAGCACACACTCAGAGACACGGTATCCTACCCTCTGCCCCCTCTTTCCCGGCAAACCTGGGGGCCCCGGCTTCCCTGTTGCTCCTGGGTCTCCCTTTGGGGTAAGAAGAGAAAGTCACTGATAAGAGGATGGGGTGGGAGTGGTGAGGGGTACAAGGGGCAGTAATCATAGATGAGTGTTTCCAGAATACCTGCCCCCTAAGATGCATCTCTTAAAAAAAGGTTGTCTTTGTCAGAAAGTTTGAAAATGTGCAGAAGTTACTTTGTTTTTGTTTAGTCGCTCAGTCGTGTCCGACTCTGCAACCTCATGGACTGCAGCGTGCCAGACTACCCTATCCTTCACCATCTCTTGGAATTTGCTCAAATTCATGTCCATTGAGTCAGAGATGCTATATAACCATCTCATTCTCTGCGGCCCCCAAAAGAGTTTCCCAATGTATATTTAGCACAGTAAAGGCTCTGAGAAGGCCTGTAGGAAAGAAACCTGTGTAATAGTTTTAAACTCCGTTATTTCTCAAATGTCTTTGACCACGGAAACTTTTCTCACATTACACCTCTTGTTGGACTGAATGACAGACACAGCCCTGTGGGTGCAGGGGACCATGTCACCGCCCGCGGCCGCTGGTGTGAATGTAAACCAGACAGTTGCCTGGGCCAGGATCCACGGAGGGGGAAGCAAGGCATCTGCAGCGCATTCTTGACAAGCAAGCCCCACCCCCGTGGTGGGCTCTCCTCTGCTCAGTCAGGTCCCCAGCCCCGGACCAGCCTCGGGGGACTAGGAGCAAAACCACAGCAGCCCCTCCCACCTCCACCCCATGACTGATGCTCGGGGCTGCCTGGAACATTTCCTCTGTATCAGTACCTTGGCTCCTGGGATCCCAGGTTCACCCTGCGTGGGAGAAAAGAAGACTCTGGTAAAGAATGTGAGAGAGCCAGATGAGTGAGGCCAGGAGCAGAGGAGTGAAGGCATCTGGGGGCAGAAATGTCTGGTCAGCTCAAGGCTTTCCTCTGCCTCAGACTCAGGCCCCTCCTGGACTGTTCCTTATTCTCCCCCCAGGTGAGATGGTGGCAGGTGAGAGGCAGGCAGCCCAGGAGGAGGGAGAGGAAGGAAGGGGAGTTTGCTTTGGATGCCGTGTCCCTGTAAATGACCTGCCAGGAGATCCACATAGAGAATTTCTGTTTCAGGAGTGTTCCTGCCCACCAGCTGAACTCTGGAGAGCAAAGCAAAGCACTAGACTCCTTTCACGTTGGCAGGCTGGTGGGACCTTCAGCTGAGACTGGTAAACCTTTGCCAGTTACTTGAGCGGCTTAGTTAAACATCTGTTGTTCAAGCTGAGCATCTGGCACACATGCTGCTTTAAGGGCAGCGGTTCTGAAGTCTGTCTGCTCCCGCCTTGGTCCAGTGGCCACCCACCGAGCCCCTGAAACCCCAACTCTGTCCTCTCTCCACCCCTCCCATCATGCCCCTCAGGTCTTGAGTTACAAGGTCCACTGACCCTCATCCCAGACACAGTGGCTCCAGGAGCCCCCTGGCAGAGAGAAGGAAAGGCAGGGGGACTTTCTCACCTGAGGGGGGCCAGCCTCCTCTCCCAGCCTCCTCTTGGAGTGACATGAGATGAGGAAACTTTGGGCTGCTGCTCAGGTCCATGGGGAAGGGGGTTGCTGAGCTCAGCTCAGAGAGAGTGGCCTGAGAAAGACCCTCCGTGCTCAGCCAGGCTCCCTGGGCTTCCAGACCCTCCTGGGAGACTCAGAGGGCACCATGGCAGGCAGCCCCTGGCTGGGCTAGATGGGGGGCATCCCTGGGTGGAATGGGGGCGGGGATACGAAAGGAGGAGGAGGAGATGGGGGAGAAAAGGGGGGAAGGAAGTGGACAACAGCAGGTGGCTGAGTTTACTAAGCTCACTGGCCCCTGAGGCTGCCTGTGGGACTCTCCTTAAGGGATCCCCCTAGCTCTAAGACCCAGTGGACTGGGGAGCAGCTGGAAGTGAACTCCACTTTCTTATCAGCTCCAGACCACCAACTTTGAGGTAAAGAAGCTGCCAAGCACAGCACTTATTAAATTTCAAGTGAATGTCATTTTTAGGGGATCCCGACTCCCACAGACAGCTCTGGCTGTCTCAGGAGTTCAGCCAGAGCTGAGGGTACCTGAGAGGTTCTTTTCATGACCCACTGATGCCCAGGAGGAGGCCTGGCCATGCTGGGAGACTGCCGGTGAGTGATGGTTCATGGGTCAAAAAGGAGCACCCCTGCCTGAACAACAGACCAGGCAGCAAGGGGAGAGGACGAGAAGAAATGTGCAGCCCATCTCTGTTTGTATAGGAGGACAGGATGCAGAAGGAGGAGGTGCTAGGGGAGAGCACTGGGGCTGGGGGAGCTGCTGGGGAGTGGGGGGGAGTTGCATACCTTTGCTCCGTGTTTGCCTGGCATCCCTGGCATGCCCCGTTCTCCCTGCAGGAAGAAACAAGAGAAACAATTAGAAGAGGACCAGACTCAGGGCCCAAGGGCTCAGCCCTGAAGCATGGTCTGCGAGGATGTCAGCGAGACAGGTTGCTCCAGAAGCTTAGAATAACCGTTCAAATCACATCTGCCAGGGATGGCTTCACCCCATCCTCTTTGGGCCAGGTCTCTAAATTCTGCAAAAGGCCCAGAAATTTTAGCTTCCAATGCAAGAGCCCTCCCTCACCCTGACCCCACCAGGACCCCTGGGCCACAGGCAGGGGTGGTGGAGCTGGACTCAGAGAAGCAACCGCAACAGACAAGATTGTGCCCCAGGCACTAAATTCTGGAAAATCCCTCTTGTGGGAAAGAGGAGAGAAAGGCACAGCCATTTATTGCATCTATGTCTGGCACTGAGTGAAGCCGTCACATCCATCCTCTGTTCAATCTCTAGGAATCCCCTCCAGTCAGTGTGGGAGTGGATGTTATTCCTGTCCCACAGGTGAGCTTTGGAAGGCCAGGTATGATAGTCAAGGTCATGCAGAGCAGAGATTTGAACACAGGTCTTTTGTCTGCCAAAGCCCAGGTACCCATTTCTCTCAGCCAACCCCAAGCATCAGAAGTTTCTATTGCTTGGCAACCGCAAACATCTGTTGCTCCCATTAAACACCTTCTGCAGGCCAAAAGCAGGGCAAAACCCTCTATTCTGGAGGGCCCTCAGGTCTGTGCCCCATAGGAGTGAGGGGTCAGAGCTCAGCCCAAGGGCTGTGTCTTCAAACCCTGGCACCAGAGAAAAAGGCTGAGCCCGGCTGGCCTGTGACCACAGTTCTGCTCTATGGCCAGCAGAGGGCGCCACAGGACTGCATCGGAACTAGCTACAGCGCACAAGCTGAAATCCATTCCAAACCACTCAACTGGCTTGACTCAGCCCAGAGGGACACCCCTGGGGTGGTGGTGGGTACAGGCGGGAGGTCAGCTTGGGCAGCCCTGACTACTCAGAGATCTCCCGTTTGAACCCCGTTCTTTCTCTTCCCATCTTTCTGTCAGCTTTCCTCCAATGATCTGCCCTCACATTTCCCACCTCCAGTGAGAGAGCTGAGTTGGGTGTCTGTGTGACCTTGGATAAGTTACTTTCTCTCTCTGGCTTCAGGATCCTGCAAAGTGAGGACTAGACTCAGGGCCCAAGGGCTCAGCCCTGAAGCATGGTCTGCGAGGATGTCAGCGAGACAGGTTGCTCCAGAAGCTTAGAATAACCGTTCAAATCACATCTGCCAGGGATGGCTTCACCCCATCCTCTTTGGGCCAGGTCTCTAAATTCTGCAAAAGGCCCAGAAATTTTAGCTTCCAATGCAAGAGCCCTCCCTCACCCTGACCCCACCAGGACCCCTGGGCCACAGGCAGGGGTGGTGGAGCTGGACTCAGAGAAGCAACCGCAACAGACAAGATTGTGCCCCAGGCACTAAATTCTGGAAAATCCCTCTTGTGGGAAAGAGCAGAGAAAGGCACAGCCATTTATTGCATCTATGTCTGGCACTGAGTGAAGCCGTCACATCCATCCTCTGTTCAATCTCTAGGAATCCCCTCCAGTCAGTGTGGGAGTGGATGTTATTCCTGTCCCACAGGTGAGCTTTGGAAGGCCAGGTATGATAGTCAAGGTCATGCAGAGCAGAGATTTGAACACAGGTCTTTTGTCTGCCAAAGCCCAGGTACCCATTTCTCTCAGCCAACCCCAAGCATCAGAAGTTTCTATTGCTTGGCAACCGCAAACATCTGTTGCTCCCATTAAACACCTTCTGCAGGCCAAAAGCAGGGCAAAACCCTCTATTCTGGAGGGCCCTCAGGTCTGTGCCCCATAGGAGTGAGGGGTCAGAGCTCAGCCCAAGGGCTGTGTCTTCAAACCCTGGCACCAGAGAAAAAGGCTGAGCCCGGCTGGCCTGTGACCACAGTTCTGCTCTATGGCCAGCAGAGGGCGCCACAGGACTGCATCGGAACTAGCTACAGCGCACAAGCTGAAATCCATTCCAAACCACTCAACTGGCTTGACTCAGCCCAGAGGGACACCCCTGGGGTGGTGGTGGGTACAGGCGGGAGGTCAGCTTGGGCAGCCCTGACTACTCAGAGATCTCCCGTTTGAACCCCGTTCTTTCTCTTCCCATCTTTCTGTCAGCTTTCCTCCAATGATCTGCCCTCACATTTCCCACCTCCAGTGAGAGAGCTGAGTTGGGTGTCTGTGTGACCTTGGATAAGTTACTTTCTCTCTCTGGCTTCAGGATCCTGCAAAGTGAGGACTAGACACCTCCTACTCACTCCTGCTCCTGGGAGGACCAAGCCGAGGAGCTGACGCTGGGTGTGTCGGCAGCCCCAGAGCAAGGTTCCGTGGGGGAGGCGATGTTAGCTCTGGGTAAAACTGTGGTTCTACAAGGGGCTCAGTGGGTCTCCTCCTGCCCCAGAGGACAGCCTGGGGTGCCTCAGCAGAGCGTGGGGGCTGCCCACGCTCCATCTCTGGGTTTCTGTCCCCAATCTCCACGCACGCTGTGCAGATCAAAACGTGGAGTGAGGGTGTCTGATGTAATCGGGGTTGTCTTCAGACCCTAAGGGTATGTCTGTGAAGATACAACCGCACTCTCCGGGGAAATCTGGGCCCCTCGGAGGAGGCAGTCTCCTCGTTAGGATGGCTGACCTTTGCCCCTCCCCTCCCTCTGGGTCAAGTCTCTTAATTCTGCAAGTGACCCAGACTCCCTTGATCCCCATCTCAGGGCCTCCCTCACCCCCACCCCTCTGCTGGGCAGGAAGCCAGGGTGCCCCTGGCTGACCCCACCCGCGGGCTCATTCCACTCTCATCAGTCTCCTTCTCCGGGGTTTGTCTCCGGGGGCTCACCCCAGCCTGACCTCTGAACCAGGGTCTGGACTCAGCTTGCACCAGAAAACACTGATTCTGGACGATGGGAGAGGGGAGAGCTGGCTGAGTCATTAACAAGGGTGGCTGCGAGCAAGGGCATCCATTTGCAGGGGTGATGGGGGGTGCGGAGCGGGGAGTGTTTCCGGGGCCATTACTAAGGGAGGACAATGACACATGTGTGTTCACAGAGCTTTTCCTCGTGGCGTGTCTTTGTGAGAGCATACCTAGAGGCTCCTTCGTTCCCATTTTCCTACATGAAAGTTTTTTGTTTGTTTGTTTAAAAGGTTTAAGTTTGGAAATGTGCTGAAGAATTTAGATACACTAACTCACTAACATCTTAGTTGGGGAGAGAGCTCTCATAGTTTGCCAAAACCCAAGGGCCCCAATTTATCTCCTGTACCTCTTGTCCTCCGAGCAGGGAGCCTGGAAGCTCCCCCAGGGGGCTGAGGAAGTGGGTGCTCCAAGCATTACAAAGGGTCTTGCCCCGGATGCCCGGAGCATGGATGGTGGCTGATGCTGTGGAGCCAGGCCTGTGAAAGGCTGGCTCTTTTAACCTTGGTTCCCAGAACCAAGGACACTGGATGGCTGGCCTGAAAGGGGTGGATTCCAGTCTCAGTGGCTAAGAAAGTGCTGAGTGAGCTCACATAAGTAGACAGGGGGCTGCCCTGAATGACCCTGAAGGCTGTCCCAGCCACCACTTTTACGATGCCACTGACTCCTGCTGCCCCTGCCTGGAGTGCCTGCCAGCATCAGTAGGTTCTGTATTCTGGTTCTGTTTCCAGGTGGGAGGACCCATCCTTTGCCCAGATGACGGGATGGAAGCAAGCTCCTTGGAGCACAAACCAGTTGTGTTCTGCTCTCTTAATTGGTGATTTACTGTTTGTTGAACAAATAGGGCAGGGACTTGGCAAAGGAGGCCAGAGGTGGGGGACTTCCAGGTCAGTTCCCCAGGCGAGCAAAGGTCAGGCCAGAGAAGCAGGGGGAGACGACCAGACCTCCCTAATGTGGGGCTCCTGCTGTGGGTTGGCGGGGGCGGCCCTGGGCCTGAGCAGGTCCACACAGACTCTTTGTTCTCTGCAGGGGAGAAGGGTGGGGAGTGGAGGACTCGGGGGAGGCCAGCAGGTGACTCAGGCCTTCTGGACCAGGGCCCTTTCCTGGGCTGGAAAAGCTGGGTGAGGAGAGCTAATGTCCTTCTCTCCCCTGAAGAGTTCCCAGGGCTCCCTTCCGGGAGGAGGGCAGCTCGCTCCCTCTTCTCGCCCCAGCCAGCTCCAGACTGGAGAGGCCTTTGAATGACCCTGAAGGCTGTCCCAGCCACCACTTTTACGATGCCACTGACTCCTGCTGCCCCTGCCTGGAGTGCCTGCCAGCATCAGTAGGTTCTGTATTCTGGTTCTGTTTCCAGGTGGGAGGACCCATCCTTTGCCCAGATGATGGGATGGAAGCAAGTGCACAAACCAGTTGTGTTCTGCTCTCTTAATTGGTGATTTACTGTTTGTTGAACAAATAGGGCAGGGACTTGGCAAAGGAGGCAAGAGGTGGGGGACTTCCAGGTCAGTTCCCCAGGCGAGCAAAGGTCAGGCCAGAGAAGCAGGGGGAGACGACCAGACCTCCCTAATGTGGGGCTCCTGCTGTGGGTTGGCGGGGGGCGGCCCTGGGCCTGAGCAGGTCCACACAGACTCTTTGTTCTCTGCAGGGGAGAAGTGTGGGGAGTGGAGGACTCGGGGGAGGCCAGCAGGTGACTCAGGCCTTCTGGACCAGGGCCCTTTCCTGGGCTGGAAAAGCTGGGTGAGGAGAGCTAATGTCCTTCTCTCCCCTGAAGAGTTCCCAGGGCTCCCTTCCGGGAGGAGGGCAGCTCGCTCCCTCTTCTCGCCCCAGCCAGCTCCAGACTGGAGAGGCCTCGGGCCACGGAAACGCCAGGTCCTTCAGTAATTAGGGCCAGCAGGAAGTGATCTGGGGAATTACCGGGGTCAGGCGCCCCATCGAAGGCCAGGGCTTTGGAAGGGCGGCTGGGTTGTAATCTCGATTTGAGATCGGTTGATTTTGTAGTTGGTTCCAAAAAGAAAAGTCAGCTCTAATTAATCTGGGGACTTGGGAGTGCAGGAGAAACGGTGCA